GGCGATCTGGAGGGGAACTGTCGGGGAGCAGTGGGCGAGTACCCGGGACGGGGACTCAGAAGCCGGATGGAGGTGACGGGAAAGGGGAGGCCCCAGGGACCATAATGGAAAAAGAGAAAGAGATCCGAAAGCGGAGAAGGTTGGGGGTGTTGAGTGGAGACGGGTGGCAGGAGCCGGGAAGAGGGCCTAGGATGAGCACTGGGCTTGGGGACTGGAACCGCCGAGGGGAGAGGGGCTGGGCACGGATCCGGATGGGAACGGGCTTGGAGAGGAGGGACGGGAGGAGGGAGAGAAAGGCTGGGGGGGATGAGACAAAGAGGCTTCTGGTAACCATCTCCACGTGGGAAGCCCTTCTTTCCCAAAGCGCCTGCCTGTCACATCCCTTCTCAGGGAGTGGCTGGGGGGCCAGACGAGGGGGGCTCAGGGCCCAGGGGGTGGCTGTGAGGGACAGAGGGTGGGGACTTGCAGTGGGGCAGTGGCCTCCGAGGGTGGGCAACCCCGGCTGACTCCATGCTGCCATTTATATCTCCGGCCTGTCGACGGATCTCACCGCCGCCTGCCCGCCACCACCACGGTGGCTGCTTATTTTGGGGTGTTACATTCTGGCAGAGTGAGAAGCTGTTTGCAGCAGCTCTAAACCTCCATCACCCGCGTCAGTGCCTCCCCAGGCCCCTGCGTCACTGGTATCGCCACCACCTCCAGCCCACTCCTCAGCTCCCACCTCCTCAGCCCCTGCCCCCTCAGCATCTGCCCGAAGGCCCCAGCCCTTCTCAAAGCAGCCTGTGGGGTGTAGAGCTGTTGCTTGTTGTCCGGGACCCCATGCTCCTCTGTCCAGAGGGGCCTCGGCTCCCCCTCCAGGGAGCACTCTTCCCTGGATCCACTCTGCACCAGCAACTCTGCCCTGTGGGTGGGCATCCTGGCTCCTGCCCTCTTCCCTGGGTCCAGTTCCCTCCACCTCAGGTTTCTTCCGTGGGGGCTTCTGACCTTGAGAGTGGCCGAGAACTCTGTTCCTGGGCCAAGGTTTGATAGCCCAGAGTCCTTGAGAGTGGACTCTCAGTGAATGGATACTTTTTGGCTCTAGGCACCTCAGCCTTCTGGGATCATTGCCACATTCTGGCCTCTCTTTCTGCTCCTTCCCTGGTCAGTTCTGGTCATATCTTTTGGACTCTGGTCATCGTCTCTCCATTTCCAAACACAGCCTCTCCTCTAGAGCACCCACAACTTGACACCCAGGAGACCAAAGTTGCAGAGCCCGAGTTCCTTCCTTGCCTTGACCCTGAGGCGTCAAACAGATCCAGCATGATGGCTGGCCAGCCCCTGGTGGCCAGGGAGGACCTGGCCGTGATTTCTGTCCTCCCTTCACCTCGGGGGGGCAGTGTCTGGCACATCCAGGGGTGGTATCCTGGATGATGCTGAGGCCTCCCAGAGAAAGGTCAGAGAGCCCCTGCGGCACGAGCTTGACACCCCTTCCTTCCAGTCTTGGTTCCACCTTGTGTGAGCTGCAGGACTTGAGGCCACTGGCACCATGTTTCTGGGCCTCCCAGCCTTCATCTGCAAACCGGGGGTTATAATATTGATTTCCCAGGGGTTTATGTTCTGGTGCACTCCACGGATAAAGAAGTCAATGTGCATGGATGCAGCGTCTGGCACACAGTAGGTGTTTTGTAACGAATGGCTTCCTGTGTGCCCTGCTCTACACTCCCCTGTGGACTTGAGAAGAGGAAGGGAGCAGAGGGGAGGAGAGGCTAGTCCACAGGGCCTCCCTCTCTGCCCGTTGAGTGGTGGAGGGATGAAATGAAAGCGCCCAAGAAAGACACTGAAGCCAGACTGCTGAGGTGGGGGCGGGAAGCCCGGGCTGTGGCTCAGAACAGGCCCTTCCCCGTTCCAGCTCTGACCCTGGGCATCTTGCCCCGAGTCTCCACCTCTGGGATTCACAACACAGGGCCCGGGAGTGGAGTTGTGGGGAGAGAGGAGAGGCATGGCCGGGAGGGAAGGAGCCGTGGTGAGGAGGCGTGAGAACAGGGGGTGGGGCGGGGACAGGACGAGGTGAGAAGGAAAAGGGCACACGCGCCACGCCACACCCACGGTGTAGGCAGAGAAAGGCACAGCTCTGGTCCCCCCCACCCCGGTCCCTTGTCCCACTGCCCGTGCCCTGGAGTACTCCCTCCAGCTCCAGCCGGCCTGGGGGCAGAGAAGCCCAGCACCCCCCACCTTCCCCTCCTCCTCGCCTCCAGTGAGAGCCGCAGCCTGAATTATGGATGAGGCTCCTTGGGTTACAGCTGCTTTGCACGGCGGTGGCGAGGGCCAGAAATGGCAACAGAGTCACTGTTACGCAGCAGCTGTCATGGAGAGCCCCTGGCTCAGGGTCCCTCCTCCGGGGGCCTGCAGGGAAGACCACCTTGGGGTGGGGGCACTATGGGGCCAAGAGGGCGGGGGTGTGGGGAGAGAGGAGAGGAGGGGTCTGATGAGGTCAGGAGGGAGCAGGAGAGTGGTGGGCTAGAAGGACGAGTAGGGCCCCCGCCAGCTCCTGCCAGCGTGGCCTCGAGGCTGAAAGAGACCCTGGTGTCAGGAGAGTGACCCCTGACGCTGAGGCGCTCGGGGGTTGCCCCTCGTCCTTCACTCTGCCTCTCCCAGGGTAGCAGTCCATCCTGGAGGCTGGGAGATGAGCCGCGTAATCCTCTCGAGGGCTGGCGGCCATGAGAGCTCACACTCTTGTGAGCTTATGGATAAGGGGTGGGATTAAGGGATCAGAGAAGGATTTGGCTTCTTTTGGTGTCAAGTCCTTAGGGAAACAGAGCTCAGAGGGTGACTCTGACAGGAGGGGAAAGTGCCCGGGCTGGGCAGCAGGAGACTTTTTCTGGCCCTTGCCCTGGCACCCCTTTGCTGTGTGACCTTGGCCCAGTGGTGTGCTCTCTCTGAGTCTCGGTAGAACAGATGCTTCAACCAGATAAACCTAGAAAGCCTTTCCAGCTCTGAAATCTCCAGTTTTAAGCAGCCCCGACCCTCAGCTCTCACAAAGCCCACCGACGGTCTCCCCCACTGTGCTCCCACATCCCCACCCCTGCCTAGTTGGGATGCGAGGGGTGAGAGACAGGCTTGTCCACCCCACGTGGCTCTGAAAAACTCGGGAGGAGAAAGTAATCGTGAAACGCCGCACGGGGGAGGGGTGAGAAGGGCCGAGAAACGCGGAGGTGGTGTGAACGAATGGAACAGTAGCCCGCTGTGTCACTGAGTATTACATCACACCCAGCCTACACACGCACGGGGCCCGGCACTCACACACACGCGGAGGACAGCCAGTGCACGCTCGCGCGCACCGACGCAGCACCAGGAGGGGCTGGGGACAGGCACTGAGGTCCCGGTGCGCCACCACACTCATGGGGCATGGCGCCCCCCACCCTGTACCCGTGTGTCCCCCTCTCCGCAGAAGAGGCATCCGTGATGCTGCTGATGCCACACTCGGGCCTGCGGGCCTGGCTCAGCTGCATTTCAGTCAGTGGCACCTGGCTCACATCACAGACACACACACACACACACACACACACACGTGCATGCACAGATGCCTTGGGAGTGTGAGACGTTACACGCAAAACCCCCACCGAAGCATGTGCGAGCCTCAGCCTTGGGGATCCCACACTCAAAGCCACCAGTCCTCAGGCTCCCTACGGGTTTTGGAGCCACCAGGAGCCCTGGGATCTCAGGGTCCAAGAATCCGGTCTTCCTCCCCTCTGCCTTTGGAGGTCAAGTTCATTCTTTTTTGTTGTTGTTTGAGTTGGAGTCTCACTCTGTCGCCCAGGCTGGAGTGCAGTGGCACGATCACAGCCACCACAGCCTCGACCTGCTGGACTCCGGCGATCCTTCTGCCTCAGCCTTCCAAGTAGCTGGAACTACAGGCGTGTGCTCCCACGCCCGGATAGTTTTTTGATTGATTGCAGAGATGAAGTCTCACCAAGTTGCCCGGGCTGGTCTCGAACCCGTGGGCTCAGGCAATCCCCTCATCTTGGCCTCCCAAAGTGCTGGGATTACAGGTTTGAGCCACCACACCCAGGCTAGTCCACTCTTGAAGTAGAAGGTGCCTCTGGGATGACTGCCTGGCGTTGGGGGTGCGGGCTCCCCTTCTCCCCAAAGTTGTCAGAAAAACATCCCAGGAGTCATACCGGGAAATCATGATAAAGTATACAGGTCAAGCTAGCTCCACTAAGTGAGGGCAGGAAGGCAGGGGCAGGGAACATGAGGGTTCGGGCCCCTTACTCAGGCATAGCAGTACAGATCCCCTTGGGCCTCCCTGGGTCTGCTTCTCCATCTATATTGTAGGAAGAATGGACCATATCCAAACTTTCAAAAGTTACTTTGAAAAAAAATTGGCTGGGCATGGTGACTCATGCCTGTAATCCTACGGGAGGCTGAGGTGGGAGGATCACTTGAACTCCAAAGTTTGAGACCAGCTTGGGCAACATAGTGAGTCCTCGTGTCTACAAAAAAAAAATAACCAAAATTAGCCAGGCAGCCAGGAGTGGTGGTGTGCGCCTGTAGTCCCAGCTACTTGGGAGGCTGAAGTGGAAGGATGGCCTGAGCCCAGGAGGTCCAGGCTGCAATGAGCCGTGATCAGGCCACTGCACTCCCGCCTAGGCGACAGAGCGAGACCCCGACTCAAAAAACAAAACACTTTTTTATTTTTTATTTTTTTTGAGTTGGAGTCTCACTCTGTCACTCAGACTGGAGTGCAAGGTCAAGGCTGCTCCCGGCCACTGCAGCCTTGACCTGCTGGGCTCAGGCAATCCGTAGTTTTGAGCCGGGCTCAGTGGCTCAGCCTGGAATCCCAGCGCTTTGGGAGGCCGAGGCGAATGGATTGCCTGAGCCCATGGGTTCGAGACCCGCCTGGGCAACTTGGTGAGGCCTCATCTCTACAATGAATCAAAAAGTAGCCGGGCATGGTAGCACGCACCTGTAGTTCCAGCTATTTGGAAGGCTGAGGTGGAAGGATCACCTGAGCCTAGCAGGTCAAGGTTGCGGTGGCGGGAGCGGCCACTGCACTCCAGTCTGGGTGACAGAGTGAGACTCCAACTCAAAAAAAAAAGTAGTTTTGGATGAGGAGAGCTGGGTGTACAATGCATATTCCCAGGCAGTCCCCAGGAATTCTGGAGCCAAGAAACCCGCGTTCTTTCCACAACCTCAGGTGATTCTGTTGCCTGTGGCAGGTGGCCCCACTTGGAGACCCGCTGAGCACCGGTCCCCAAGGCCCCTCCCAGCATGGAGACACTCCAGGGGTAAACAGCAGGAAGGTGAGGACAGAGGGTGTTAGTCACCAGTGGGTTCAGCAAGGACGGAGCCCAGGGCTGCCTGAGGGTCATTTCACACAGGCCTTGGATTCCCAAGTTAGTCCAGTCATTCTCAAACGGAGTGACTTGTTCCCCAGGGGACATGTGGCAATGTCTGGAGACATTTTGGTTGTCACACTGGAGGCAGGGTGCTGCTGGCATCTATTGGGTAGAAGACAGAGGTCTGCTAAGTGCCTTCTATAGATGGGCTGCCCCCACAGTGAGGGACTCTCGGGACCAACTGTCAATCCTGAGTCAGGGAAACCCTGATGTTAGGCTTTTGGCATTAATCTCTAGACGTCAAACACACAACAGTAAAAACAGGATTGAAAAGGCAACGCTGCTGATTGCAGTGGCTCACGCCTATAATCCCAGCACTTTGGGAGGCCGAGGTGAGAGGATTGTCTGAGCCCACAGGTTCGAGACCAGCCTGGGCAACTTGGCAAGACCTCATCCCTACAATTAAAAAAAAAAAAAAGTTAGGCATGGTGGCACATGCCTGTAGTTCCAGCTACTTGGAAGGGAGGTGGAAGGATCACCGGAGTCCAGCAGGTCAAGGCTACGGTGGCTGTGAGCGTGCTACTGCACTCCAGCCTGGGTGACAGTGAGACTGACAAAAAAAAAATAGATGACCCTTCACCAAACAACTTCAAATGTATTACAGCGCTTTCTTCAGTGTCCTCAGCATAATTTTGTAATATACCAGGAGCCTCAGAACGTGGATGTGGCCAGGCCACTGGAGACCCTGGGGTCGCACCCCAAAACCCCATGGAGGCCAGGCGCAGTGGCTCACGCCTGTCATCCCAGCACTTTGGGAGGCTGAGGCGGGAGGATCGCTTGAGCCCAGGAGTCTGAGACCAGCCTGGACAACATAGCCAGACCTCGTCTCTACAAAACGTCAGAAACCCCATGGGAGCGGCAGGGCTCCAGGCTCCTTGGGGGCCAGCCCTCCTGCCCTCACAGCACCCCCAGCAATGTCCGGCTTTTCCCACCCACAGCTCCCGCCTCGGCCTGCCTCCTGCTGCTGCTCCTGGCCCTGCCCCCGGCGGCCCCCAGCTGCCCCATGCTCTGCACCTGCTATTCGTCCCCGCCCACCGTGAGCTGCCAGGCCAACAACTTCTCCTCCGTGCCGCTGTCCCTGCCACCCAGCACGCAGCGCCTCTTCCTGCAGAACAACCTCATCCGCACGCTGCGGCCGGGCACCTTCGGGCCCAACCTGCTCCCCCTGTGGCTTTTCTCCAACAACCTCTCCTCCATCCACCCGGGCACCTTCCGCCACCTGCAGGCCCTGGAGGAGCTGGACCTCGGGGACAACCGGCACCTGCGCTCCCTGGAGCCCGACACCTTCCGGGGCCTGGAGCGGCTGCAGTCGCTGCATCTGTATCGCTGCCAGCTCAGCAGCCTGCCCAGCAACATCTTCCGCGGCCTGGTGAGCCTGCAGTACCTCTACCTCCAGGAGAACAGCCTCCTCCACCTACAGGTGAGCCTCCCCTCCCGACCTCTCCCCTCTCCACGGGCCTCCTTGTCCCCCGCCCCCTCCGTGCCTGGCCCTCCTCTCTCCCTGGCCGCCCTTTTGGCCTCAGCATCACCGGCTCTCTGAGTCTCGGTCTCTTTTCCAAGTTTCCATGTCTCTCACTTTTTCCAAGGGCTTTTCTTTGCCTGGTCTCTTTTGCCTGTCTGTCTATGCCTGTCTGTCTCTCTCTCTCTCTCTGTGTCTCTCTGTGTGTGTTACTGTCTCTTTCGCTGTTGCTGTCCCTGTTTCTCTCTCTCCTCACTGTATCTCTGTCACCATCTCTCTTTCACCACCTCTGCCCATGTCTCTCTTCCCTCTCTTTCTGTCTCTGTGCCTGTCTCGCCAACCCCCAGCCTCCACCTCTCTGCCTCTGCCTGCCTGTCTGTCTATCCCTCTCCATCCCTCTCTGCCTCTCTCTCTAACGTGCGTCCCCCATCTGTCTTCTGCCTCTTCTGTCTGTCTCCCTTCACACACCCACTCTGCACACACCCCCATGTCTGTCTGGGTGTGTGTGTGTCTCTTTCTATGATCTCTCTTTTCCCCTGTATTTGCCTTTGGGGGATGCTGCCTCCCCCCAGGCGTCCCTGCCCAAAGGTCTTGGGGCCCGCTGTTCTCACCCACCCCCAAGCCTACCACATCACAGGGAAGTGGACAAGAAGGCAGAGCCTCTCCAAGCCACTGGGCCATGGGACAGGGAAGACACACCCTCTCTAGAGTCCCCTTCCCCAAACCCGTCATCTCAGTGCAAGGGAAGAAGGAAAAAAAAAAGCATGAATCTCTGTTCTGCCGCTAGAAAATGAATGCACTGAAAATGGAAAGAATAACAGCAAGTGTTATTTATTGTTATTATTATTGATCTAATTCTTGTTTATTGTTGTTGTTATGCTGACAGCTTGACAGTCAGAGCCTCCCATCACATCTCCCCAGGAAGCAATCACACACCCTCCAAACCACTCAAGTCTTCCCTTGGCTACACAGCCTCAGGCTGGACGGGAGGCAAGGACACCCAGATCCTCTCCTCTCCCCATTGGGACCTGGAAGACGCTGCCTCCTGCCCACCCAGGGCTGAGCTCTGCTTAGACGTTCTGTCTCTGAAATAGAGTCAGATGAGCTATCTGTGTAGCCTCAGGACAAACTCCAAACTCAAACTCCTACCAGTCTGCTGGTCAGTGTTCCTCACTGGTGAGGCCGGTGACAATAACAATAGCAATAACTATGTAACAAACATCTATTGAGCACTCACGGTATACTAGGCATGGAGAATACTGCCCTGTACAAAGCAGACCAAACTCTCTGCCTTCACAGAGACAGCATTCTAATGGGAAGGGAAAAGTAAAGGGCATAGTATGTTGGAAAAATGTCTTATGTTATTATTATTATTGCATAATAGTAACAATCATAACAGCAGCCACTGCCACTCAGAGGGCGCAAAGGGCCAGGCACTGGGCTAAGCACTTTACAGGTATCGACTCTGCCATTTACAAGTGTGTGGCGCCTTTTAACCTGCTTGGGCCTCAGTTTTCCCGTCTGTACAATGGGAGTAGCAAGAGCTACCCATCACCTAGGGATTTTAAAGGCATTAAATGCATGAATAATTTGTAAAGCACTTAGAATAGTGCTTGGCATACAGTAAGCGCTATATAAATGCTTGTTAAAATGCCATTTCAAAAAAAGAAACGCGCCGTATTTAACATTGGTCTCGGTGAAGTGGCCCGACTCGGACCCGATTCTGGAGAGCTGGGTCAACTCCAAGGATTACAGGAGGTCATGGGTGGGTCCTAGAACCCACCCATGGGTTCTTTCTTCCTTTATAAATAGGGCCAGCATCTCACGGTTTGTGAAGTGCACTCAGCCTGCTCATCTCACTTCTGCGGCCCTGCTGGGAGATGGCTTTCAGTCCCTTGGAATGTGGGGATGCCGAGGCTGGGGGCCCTGAAGGCTTTATTGAGATAGGATGGCCTCTCATCATCAATCTCTTAAACCATTATTCATGGGCCTGGGGGCTTATGTCTCCTCACCATCACGTTGAGCTTCAAAACAGCCTAGCAGGAGGGACAGTCAGGCCATGAGGGACATGGAAGAGACCTTCCTGGGGCCACCCAGCCAGGGAGGGCTGATGCTTGACCTGCTTGTTCTCACTACATTTCAGCGTTCAGGGGGCTCATTTTTGTTTTTTGGTTGGGTTTTGTTTGTTTTTTTTGAGTCAGGGTCTCACTGTATGACCCAGGCTGGAATGCAGTGGCACAATCACAGCTCACCACAGCCTCAATCTCCTAAACTCAGGCGATCTTCCCACCTCAGCCTCCTGAGTAGCTGGGACCTACAGGCGTGTGCCACCACGCCCAGCTAATTTTGTGATTTTTTTTTTTTTTT